AGAAGGGGCCCAAGCAAATGTTTGCCCATGGTCCATCCATTATTAAAGACGGCCCTGGAGAGAGACCTAACAAAAATGCCCAACACGGCTTACGTGATTGCCTCTGTTTGCTAAACCTCTCTTGATGGCTAAAATGAAGCGCATGTGTGGCTGCACTCCTGATCGGGACTGTTTACTTGTTTTACTTAACATTAAATAAAAGAATTAAGAGAAAAGAAAAAGAGACCCTTGATATATAGATAGTTATTTTTTTCTGTTTTATTTTTTGTTCTTGGCTAAAAAGAAAGTGGGCTACCTAGTTCAGCTTTCCTGCTGGTGATTGCAATAAGGAAGGAGCAAAGAGAAGAAGAAAGGAAAAAGAGAAAAAAAGGCAAAGGAAGAAAAAGAAAAAATAGAAAAAATAAAAAAGTAGAAAAAGGGAACTTATTTTTATGGTGACACGTAATAAAAATGGCCACTAAATACACCATTTTTTGGTGTTTGTAATTTAAGGGAAAAAAATAAAGAAAATGCTGTGTGGAGTGGAGTGAAGGGCAAAATGTGGTAAGAGTAAAAGCAGTTGTTAAATTGTGCAACAAATTTAGAACGCATGTATCAAAAAAATAAATAAACAAATAAATGTAAGTACATATATTTTTTAAAAAAACCTCCTCTTTAAAAAAAAAAAGGTTCGCAATTGCACTAAAAAATTGAGATAATGCGGCACCGGTGGGTGGTAAATTTTTTTTACCATCAAAAAAGATTCACAAGTGGGTGGTAGGTATTAAAAGGTTGACTACCCGTTGGTTATATAAAAATATATATATTTTATCTCTTTAATATAGGAGGATCTAAATCGGTCTTTAATTACTATGAGAGTTTTAGTATGATTACAAATTTTAATGCAAAAGCTTTAAAAGCTTAAATGTTTGCAGCCTTAAATCATTGGTAGAATGGGAGTGTGCACACGATGTTTAACTTCCATTAAAGGGTTGTTCCAAACACCATGACCACTTCAGTGATTTAAAGTGGACATGGTGCCTCGAGTCTGTATGTGCAGAGTTTCACACATACAAAGTTTAACCCCTCTGCTGCCAGATATGTAACTCCACTTCGGGTTCTGGCCATGTTATGGAGTACCTTAGCCAAGAGTTCCAGGTGGCTAATGTGAATAATAATGTAAATGGCGTTAGATACTAGCCTGCAGGTGGAGGACAGCCAATGGTGGCTTGGCTTCCTCCTTCGTGGCACCCATGTCCTCCCCTCAGTCACCTCTCCTGACCTTCCCTCTCATTACGATGAGGCGAAGTGACATCAGCTGTGGAGGTTCAGGGTGTAGAGAGAACTAGGCCTTGGCGCTGGATTGAGGTGAGTTTTAGCTTTCTTTTTTATTAACTGGGGGGCAGACCCACCCAGCAAAGGTTACTCTAATTAAAATTAGTGTTTTATGTAAAAACTTTTATTTTGGTCGGAACCCCTTAAGGACCAAACTTCTGGAATAAAAGGGAATCAGGACATGTCAGACATGTCATGTGTCCTTAAGGGGTTAAAGGGCCTGTATATTCCTTCATATGTATAGAGGCTTTGTTTTAATATTATTGGATAAACTTTCAACATTTTTTTTTTTTAATTCTTTAATTTATTTTTTGTGCTGTGAGAATAGAGATGCCCACAATGCCACAACAGCAGTAGTAGGCAAAGTACAAACAGTTAGTAACAGATGTATGGCATAGGAAGTAAAAACACATTTTTGTGAAAAAGAAATAATACAATAATCGCAGAAACAGTAGTACAATTGTTTTAACAGTATCATTGCATATCTTAAGCTAGTTGGTCCCGACCTCTAGCTGTCTGAGCGCATGTGTGGCTGCACTCCTGATCGGGACTGTTTACTTGGTTTACTTAACATTAAATTAAAGAATTAAGAGAAAAGAAAAAGAGACCCATGATATATAGATAGTTCTTTTTTTCTGTTTTATTTTTTGTTGTTGGCTAATAAGAAAATGGGCTACCAATCCTGCTGGTGATTGCAATAAAGAAGGCGCAAAGAGAAGATGAAAGGAAATGGAAGATGAAAGGAAATGGCGTCCGCTCCATGCTGTGGTTAAGCCCCGCCCCCAAACCTTCAACCTTATTATTTTGTTTCAAAATATTTAAATATCATATAAAAAAAAATCAACACATTAAAAAATATAAAAAAATAAAATATTACATTTCTTTTTCAAAATATTAAAGGATTTTAATGATTTAATGATTAAGGGTTATGCAAATATATTAAATCATTACAAAAAGCCTATCCACAAATATTAAATCAGGGCCAAAGTCTGTAGACCTAGAGGAAAGGCGAGATATTTTTCCTGCAATCAGTATTGAAACAACATTGGAACTGAAAAGATCACATAACACATAAAGTAATCCAAAGCACTTTATTTCTGTGAGCCTTGTATAGTTAAAGTATTGGCTAACATACAATGAGGATACCTTTGCTTCCTTTGTCAAAAAAGCAGTAATTGCCCTATTAGATTGATACAGGTGTACAGTTATATAGATCCAAAGCCCAAGTGAATGAGATTGACCAAACAAAGCTATTAGTGTGGTCTAAAGCTGGTGTAATGAATGACCTTAATTGGAGTGTGTGAAGGCAGTGATTTGTGTATTGAGTAAAAATGCATTTGAGTGAATAAGGCTTGACAAGCATGCAGGTGTGCTATGCTATTCATCACGCTAGTTGCTGGGTGTGATTACAAATGCAAAGGCCATAACACTATACCAAAGCCCAATCCAGCACATAATGTTCCTGTAAAAAGGAAATCATGCTTACAATACATCTTATTTTTATTGATATTTTAAAAAAGAATATTACTATTTTTCTGATCGTTAGGCTGGCAATAATAAGATCACTTTCTGGTTTATTTTGCAAAGACCCCTGATGGTGACATTGCAACTTGGGGAAGGGTGGCCCATGTGTGCAGAAGAGAGGTGAGTTATTTGTAATGGATGTTGTCCCATGTGAACAGTGCTATCTTAAATATCCATAACTCCATTGACTCCTTGCTTACCTGTGGGGAATTTTGAATACATGCTGCATTCACCGTACATGCGCATTAGGTCATTAATACTTCTCTATGAGAAGCATTGGATTGGACCCTCACATCGGTGGGGAAGAGGAGGTCAGTTGTGCCAACAGGTAAGTAAAATGTATTTTTAGTTTAATTCTATGCACTAGAAAAAGCAGTAGAGAGGTGGACACTACAACGTTAGGAACACAGATTTGTATTCCAAACACTAGGTATTCCTTTAAATTTGTTATTGACTTTGAATTCACTTTGAATCCTCGCTTTAGTGAATAACCCATGAAATTAACACAGTCTTAATGAACATTTCAAAAAGATTTTACATTTTCCCAATCAATCTCTTTTTTCATTTTATTCATTGTTCCTATTCTAGCTCGCCATTCCTCCTTTGTTTTTTTAATATGTAGAGCTTTTAACATTATTATAAATAATACTGAATCTTTAGCTTGATTAGTCTACTATTTCTTACGCCTCCCAACAGTCCCGATTTCGTAGGAACAATCCTGATTTGAGGGTCCTGTCCTGCCATCCTGAGTTTGTTACCTGATGTCATGCTTTTAGGGACACCAGAGAACTGTCCACAAAAAGTGTAGCATGAGCATCATTTAATCACACTTACACTATGCTCAGAGCACGAGGACCACCACAGTTTGTCCTTAGTAGGCTGCCAGCCTGGTGTGAATTCATCTCTTTGGGTTGTGCCAGTGACTTGATTTGCAACCCTTTTTAGGTGACAGCCTGCACTGAGCCTGATCTCTTCCATTTGGTATGTATACTTGCCCTGTTTAATGTGTGATAACGTATATGGGTCCCACTCGGTGCCCATGTCCACAGTCCCGACATCCGATCTTCTCTTTAGCCCTACGGAGCAAAGCAAGGCCAGGCAAGACCTTGTTGAGTGCACTCTCAGCTAACGATCCTCCTGTACTAAAGGCTTTACTCCACAGTGAAAGCTGTCTTTTTCCACAGTGGTGGTTATGGTTCTTGTATGTGTGTTTGTGTGTCAGTATATTGAAAATTAGATTGTCTTCCAAAATTCGGGACTTCCAAAATTCTGCACTTTGGTTCGGTGCGGCACTTCCAAAATTCAGGACTTCGGGACTTTGGCAATTCCCTAACCCTAACACAACCTTAACCCTACCTCAACCCTACCCTTAACCATAACCCCAACCCTTCCCCTAACCTAACCTTAACCCTACCCCTAACCCAATCCTAACCCTACCCCAACCATAGTTTTATCATTATTCAATTTATAATTTGAAACTGAACTATAGTTCTTACATTCTTCCATAAGAGGGTCAATTGAATTCTTAGGGTAATTTATAGTAAGTAAAATATCATCTGCATACATACAAATTTTTAAATTACTATCTTTTGTTTTAAATCCACCGCTTTTATCATTATGAAAAAGTGACAGTGTGTAGCGCTAGGTAATATCGACTTACACCATGAGGAACTTTAGGGATATGGAATATATATATATTCTCCTGAATCTTGGAGGGTATAGGAGATATATATACTGTGGAGAAAATGGAAAAAATATATAGTGCACTCTGTGCAAACAGGCGTAGTGGTAAATCGTATAATAGGAAGCACTCACGTGGTTCAGAGCCTATTATGGATTGGCTCTTAATCACTCTTGCCTTGTGTCCTTTAGGTGACACACACCTTCAACTCCCAATAAGGAATAACCCTTAAAAATAAAAGAGAAACAGGGGGAAATCCGCCCTAGTGTTGAAATCCTTAGAGACAACGATATATAAACATATATATGCAGGTGAAGATTGCTTCTCACCTGAACCAGAGCCTGTAACCTGGCTCTAAGTAGAAAGGCATATGAGTCCTTTTATGGGATGACTCCTTCCCTCTTTAATGGATGGAAAATGTACCAAATATAATGATTGCAGATCCCTGGTTTTCCTAGATCAGCAGTGGACAGAGCAGGGTCTTTGCTGTACAATCCCAGAATTTTGCTTTCTTTTTTTTTTTTTTTGAAAGACAGAAAAGAAAATCCTTCCCAGGTCTCTCTAGAGCTTGTAATGTTTCACAGTGAGCAAACAAGCAAGCTGTCAAATCAACATATTACCCCCACATGCTTCAAATTACAATTTCATAATAATCCTAATAGTGTATCTCTGAAGCATAGGGAATTCACAGCCAGTTTAAAATCCCAGAGCTAAATGCACCCAGGCAATACTGAGATCAGTTTTGATCTCAGTATTGCCTGGGTGCATTTAGCGCTGGGATTTTAAACTGGCTGTGAATTCCCTATGCTTCAGAGATACACTATTAGGATTATTATGAAATTGTAATTTGAAGCATGTGGGGGTAATATGTTGATTTGACAGCTTGCTTGTTTGCTCACTGTGAAACATTACAAGCTCTAGAGAGACCTGGGAAGGATTTTCTTTTCTGTCTTTCAAAAAAAAAAAAAAAGAAAGCAAAATTCTGGGATTGTACAGCAAAGACCCTGCTCTGTCCACTGCTGATCTAGGAAAACCAGGGATCTGCAATCATTATATTTGGTACATTTTCCATCCATTAAAGAGGGAAGGAGTCATCCCATAAAAGGACTCATATGCCTTTCTACTTAGAGCCAGGTTACAGGCTCTGGTTCAGGTGAGAAGCAATCTTCACCTGCATATATATGTTTATATATCGTTGTCTCTAAGGATTTCAACACTAGGGCGGATTTCCCCCTGTTTCTCTTTTATTTTGAGGGTTATTCCTTATTGGGAGTTGAAGGTGTGTGTCACCTAAAGGACACAAGGCAAGAGTGATTAAGAGCCAATCCATAATAGGCTCTGAACCACGTGAGTGCTTCCTATTATACGATTTACCACTACGCCTGTTTGCACAGAGTGCACTATATATTTTTTCCATTTTCTCCACAGTATATATATCTCCTATACCCTCCAAGATTCAGGAGAATATATATATATTCCATATCCCTAAAGTTCCTCATGGTGTAAGTCGATATTACCTAGCGCTACACACTGTCACTTTTTCATACTGGTTATGTAAATAAGTGTTCTTTTCACATGTAATCACGATAGGACTGAAGAGTACCTATTTTCTTGTGTGAGAGCTGCTGTACCATAAGAGCACCTGTTACTACTTAATTTAAGCGCCTGAGAACACAGAATATTCTGCTATATTGTTGATCGCTTTTATCATTATTTCTAATATCTACAGCCAAATGTTCAATAGATAATATATATGGCAACGGTGACAGGGGGCAACCCTGTCTAACTCCGTTACCTATGCTAAACCAACTTGAGCATACATTGGACCCAACTGTTATCGCTGTGGGATTTCTATATAATGCCATGATTGCCTCTAATATCCAGCCGTTGATATCGTAATAAATTAAAGCCTGTTCCAAAAATTTCTATTTAACCGATCAAAGGCTTTTTCAGCGTCTATAGCTATTGTTAAAAATTGATTTTTATTAACGCTATCGTGAATGTTTATAATTCTTCTCCTATTATATCCTGACCATCTTCCAGGGGAAAATCCTATTTGGTCTGTGTGAATCAATTCTGCAATGACGCTCTTAAGGCGCTCAGCTAAAATGGCTGAAAAGAGTTTTATATCCATATTAATGAAAGAAATAGGGTGATAACTCATTGTCTCAAGGGGATTTTTACCTGGCTTTAATATTGGCAATATATTAGCCCTCATCATTTCGACTGGGAAGTTACCATTACTTACGGCATTGTTGAACATTGGGGAAAAATGTATGCTCAGTTGCTTTTTAAATGTTTGAAAAAAAGATTGGTAAAGTCATCTGGTCCGGTTGTTTTAGCCTTTTGTAATTTTGAAATGGCCAATTCGACTTCTTCTTTACTACTGGGTTTATTTAAGTCCAACAATGTGTCTTGCTATAATTTTGGGAGTTTAGTCTTATTTAAATACTGATCTATATAGATTTCATTGGGGTATTTATTTGAAGATTGTATTATTTACCATAATATTCATTAAAGAAATTCCCAGTATGTATGGGATTGATACGTACTCTATTTTGATATATAATCTTAGTTATATGAGAATGGGATTGTTGTTTTCTGAGGTTATTAGACATCATCTTATCTCTTTTATTTCCTCTGCAATAAAATTTTAATTTTAGTCTTATTATATTCTTTACAATCCTTTCATTTATACATTGATTAATGTTGTCTTGTATAACCTTTACCTCCTTTGCTTTTACTGCTGAAGGGTCTTTTTCATTCTCTACTGAGAGTTTATGTAGAGTAATATATATTGCCAGTAGATCTCTATCTTTCCTTTTTTGTGCCTTATGGTTCAATTTAATAAAATGTCCCCTTGCCACTGCTTTAAAGGCACACCTGTTATTTAGGTAGGATGTGTCAGTAAGATCATTCTCTTTAAAATAATTTTCAAACTTATTAGTTAAATACTCCTTGTTGTTTTTATAAAAATAACAAATTATTTTTAAAATTTCTCTGTAGAGTTATTCTTTATTCAAAAACCATATTTTATCTCAAAGAGAATGATATTATGATCAGACCATTTGTTATCCACTATATTAATTTTTTTCAACTTCTCAATCAGATTCATATAACCCCAAACCATGACTATCCTAGAATGTGTATAATAGATTCTTGACAGATGTGTAAAATAGTTCATAGTTGGATAAACTAAACGCCAAGCATCAAAGAGATCGTATGTATTAAGAGTATTGGTTAATGCTTGAGCATATTTTACTACTTTGTTGTTTATCAAACTAGCTTTAAGAAGTTTTTTTATCCATTTGGTGATCAAATACACAAATTAAAATCACTCGCCACCATATATATGCCCGACTTAATTGGTTCCGCTTTCTCTAAAATTTTATTCAACATTAGTACAGGAGCTACATTAGGCAGATATATATTAATTATTGCGTATTTTACAAATTATAATCATGTATCTCCCTTCAGGGTCTAATTCTTGATAGAAATTCTCCATTTAATGTTATTGGAAACCACAAATAGCTACCAAGTAGGGCTACTCAAGGGGGACCTTATCTATCAGTATACTCATCTAACTTTTAAATTAAGGTTACTTTGTTATTTCCCTTTTCTTTTTCCTTCCTCCATTCTCTTCCTTTTCCAACTCCGTTCCCTCATCATCTTGTCATATTATTTTTTAATAGGGATTATACAAGTTGGATCCATACCTACAAAAGTGGCCTATGTTTCACCCATTTAAATATAACTAAATCAACCATCTTATTCTATGTTTCCCACTCACACCCCTAGGTGTATATATTTTCATAAAAAAAAAAATTATAATCTTCTCTTATCTTGGTGGTTTTCAGCCGTTAGACCTTAATATGTTTCACTATTTTTGCAACTTTAAAGTTTTATGGCTTATCGCTAGTTATGTAACCCTAATATGCCTCATATTGATGGTATGTTAAAAAATAGAATCAGGACTCGATATATATGGGACTTCTTTTCATCAACACTGATATTATTTGTTTTCTATTCCATATAAACTCTATATTCTTGTTAATCTAAACACCTTCTAATCCCATACTATTATTCATTAAAGTGAAACACAAACCACTTATATTTTAAGTATATACTATAGGTAATCCCGCCCCCCCCCCAAAAAACCCCATCATATCTTAACCATTAATATATTATGTCGCTATGTTCTTATTTTTTTTATCATAATACTTATGTGACCAAAAATTTACCTCGTATTGTGTAGGTGTTATATATGTGATATGCGACTATCCAGATCAAAACTAAGTGTGCATATAAAACGTCTATATACCTTCCTTTTTTCAGCTAATTAATTATAAAGTATATAAACTATAGTGATGTCCCGAACGGTTCGCCGAACGGTTCGCCACGGACTCATCATTGAGTAAACTTTGACCCTGTACCTCACAGTCAGCAGACACATTCCAGCCAATCAGCAGCAGACCCTCCCTCCCAGACCCTCCCACCTCCTGGACAGCATTTTTTACATTCATTGTGAAGCTTAGTGAGGTGGGAGGGTCTGGAGGGAATCTGCTGCTGATTGGCTGGAATGTGTCTGCTGACTGTGAGGTACAGGTCAAATTTTACTCAATGATGAGTCCGTGGCGAACCGTTCGTGACGAACCGTTCGTGACGAACCGTTCAGCGAACCGTTCGGGACATCACTAATAAACTATATTCTTATCATAAGTGTCATTTAGTGTAACTATAATGTTAATCAATAATTAAAGCGCTAAATGCGTTATATAGTAATCGTGTCTATATTTTCATTAAAATTTTCGTGAATTATCTAATATTGTATTACTTCTTTATGTTCATATGTACCCACCATTCTTCTACTAATAGAGCTAAGAAAAAATACCTAGATCATCAATCCCATCATGTGTATCTAACAATATACATCCTATTAGTCCTTTTATACATCATACTGAGATATAGAAAAGGAGAAAGAAAAAAACTAAAACTATTAAATAAATGAATAAATATAAAAGGTTAATTCATGTTATTGGCATTAGTCTAATTTTCTAGATTTGAAGGTGTCACAAAATTCAGCCACTTTTCTTTCCACCAAACCATCAATCTAGATGGCTCTCCATTTATATCTGATGTCCTTTTGCTTCAGTGGTTCTAACACTTGATGGAAACTCCTTCTCCATTGTGTTGTTTGAAATGAAAAGTCCTGAAAGATCAGAATGTCTTTAAACCGGTTGGATATATTACGATGCTCTTTATGTCTCTTCACAATTTGCTCTTTATATGCATATGAATGGATAGCTGCAATAACATCTCTTGACCATTGGGATGCAACAGATTTAGGTTTAGGAAGGCGATGTACCCTCTCTAACACTAAGTGCTGTTCCACTGTAGGAATTCCTAATTCTTTGAAGAACTCATTTAAAAATTCATTCAGGTGGCCTTGGGTAATTTCTTCCAGGATATTCCTAAATCTAAAGTTACATTGTCTTGAACGATCTTCTAAATCTCTCAGTTTTAAATCTATTTGGTTTAGTTTGATTTCCATTTTGTTTTTATATTTTTTGAGTATAAAAAGTTGTTCCTCCATCTTGTTTAATTTAGCTTCCACTGAGGAGACTTGTTTAGTTAACTCACTCAGGTAATTTTTTACTGAAACTAAGTTATTAGCTATCTCTTTCAAAATGGATGCCAGTTGGGCATCTAATTTAGCCACTAGAAAATCTTGTGTGACAAA